TGTCTTTAGAAGTAGGAGGAGTAAGAAGACCATCCTCCTCTTTATCAGACACCTTTGGCCTCTTCCTCTGGGGGAATTGTCAAAATCCAGCTCAGGGTAGGTTCTCTCAACTATACGTTGGAAAGTAATCCACCCTTTAGCCCACCTGGTGAGAACATCATCTTCTAGTTGGGCAATCAGCTCATCATTTTTTTTTGGATGATAGTGTCTCGCACCCCCAGCTTTTCCTTGGTAGCCTCCAACTCCTCCCTGACAGCATCATTGACTTCTGCTAACACTTCATACTCCTTCTTCACGTTCCTGAATGAAGCCAGAGCATCGAGGGACTTTCGGCTTTCCTTGATCCAGTCATCAATTTTTAACCGAAGGTCTTCTTTAGTCTTGCTGAGTTCCTCTTGTCTAGATTTGGCAAGGGAAGACTGCTGCTCCACTTGCTCTTGCAACTCCTTTACTTGGACCTTAAGGTCATTATTCTTAAAGGCCAGATTGGCACACTTCAGCTCAAAAGCTTTGGAAGCATTGACTGACCACTCCAGGGCTTGGATTCACTTTAACAAGCTGTTTATTTGAATGGCAGTCTAAAGACAAGCATGAAAGATTAGTGCAAAGGGAAGAGCGCAGGACAACCAAAGGAAAAAGAAAGAATTTGACAAATTAAAATCTCACCAAGGTACAACCATACAGCGCAGTGGAAATACAGGTTTTCAGGGGTACAGAAGTGGCTGCATCAATGTCAGACTCTGGGATAATGGAGGCAATGACCTCTACAACACACTTCACATCAGTAATAAGGGAATTCTTAGACTTCGGGAGGACCCCTTTGCCTACCACAAATTCTTTGGGAAGATATTGGGAGGCCTCTTTGGTTGACACAGAGGTAGCACAACCAGGGAGAGTGCGAACAGTGTCCAAGTCCCCCTCAACTTTAGATGCAGAAGGGGAGGACTGGTCTCGCTCAGGAGCATCTTCAGTGGCAGGTCAGGTCCCTTGGACGAAAGGAAGTCCTGAGGTTGGTGAAGCATGTAGGGGGGATGGTGGAGCCTTCTAGATAAAGATAGAGGTAGAGGAAGTACCCATTTTCTGAACCTTAGCTCGAGTAACAAGGCTCCCACCAGAACTTCCCTCAGCCTTGCGCTTAGAACCACCCTTGTTTTTCTTCTTCAATTGCTCGACCTTAGCCTGGAGCATCTCAAGGGTAGGCCTCATTTGTACAAGACCCTAGGAGATATGACTTGAGCTGGTTAATCAAGAGAAAAAAGAAAGGGAGGAAACCAACGAAACCAAATAAGGGAAAGAACATTACCTTCTACGTCCTCAGGTCGGATAAAGAAAAGTGGAATTGGAGCTTCTATCACTGTCTCAGGAGGACCAAACCCCTGTTTTCCTAATTCCCAAGGCTTAATGAGCTCGGAGTACCTCTCTGGATTATATTTTGCCAATTTCAGCTTCACCCTCTCGTTTTCAGCGCTGAGCTCAGGTTGGATACCTAAAAAACCAAGGAAAATAAGAAATAAGTTAACAAAGCAGCAAGGCTTGGATTAAATACGGTCTGGACAAAAATATACCCAAATTATCCGGGGTAGACCACTCTGTAGGGATGGGGAAGGTATCAGTTTTATCCTCTGAGTTGAACTCTCACTGTGTACCCCCTATAAAGAAAAATTATTTCTTCTAGCCCTTATGGGAGCTTGGGAGGTCAGAGATGACATGTTTGGCCTTAGTCCTCTTGAAAATATACAGAAAACCATCAGAGGAGGTCAGCTTGACATTGAACAGCTCCATAAGTAAGGAAACAGTAGGTACTCCAAGCTTATGGTCCTTAAAGAAGACTAGTAAACCCACAAGAACACCCTAGAAGTTGGGGGAGAGCTGGCCAGGGCAGACATTGAAGTGTTGAAGAACACATTTGATAAAGGGATGAATGGGGAAGCGAAGTCCGTTATCAAAAGCTGCCAGGAAGAAACAGACTTTCTTGTGGACATGGCGAACATATGTGGTATACTTATCAGGACTCCAGGACTGAACCCCTGGGGGAAAACGAAAGCGAGCAATAAGAATCTTCAGGTCAGAAGGGGTAAGTCCATTGGGACCTATAAGTTTAGCGTTCCTAAAGGCAGCCCCTGCGCATGAAACAATGACTCCCACACCACTTACTTTGCCCTTGCCCTTATCAGGTCTATCAATCATGGGAGAAGAGGTGGAGGGAGCCTCCTCGGTTTTCACTTCTACCTCGACAGAATCTACACAAGAAAAGTTGTCAATCTCGTCACCTACATCCCCTAAATCATAATCTCTTTCGGCAGACCTATCGCCTAAGAGGGAAATAAAGGAAGGAGTTGCTCCAGAGGAGGCAGACATGATTGGTAGAGAGAAAGGCAGATTGAAAGAATAATAGAGATGAGGAATACTAATCAAACACCCCCTAATAATCCTAGGGTCAGCACTGTACCCCCCAATGGTAAGAATTCGCACAATGGAGTTCCAATCCACAAAGCGGGGAAGAGGAGATAAACAACAATCTGGATTCCAAAAGTAAAAGAACCGAAAAACCCAGATAAACAACGGCCACCTCGAATTTGAGGGCTCCAGAGCGGAGAAAGGTAAGAGAAAGAGAAGGGGACAGAAAAGGCGTACCTAGACAGGGAAAAGAACAGCAAACAGCAACCGAGGATGAAATTGGAGAGATGAAGCAAAACAAGACTTCAAGGCGTACCCGAAAAACGTAGTCTTGAGCAGAGAATGAGTGAATCGCGTGTAGGAAAGCCCAAGAATTGCAGAGGAAAAGAGGCAGAGGCAAAGGTGAACAACGTAGAAGATGGATAGGGAGTTTTGAGCAATTTTTGGGTAGCTGTTTGAGCATTTAAAGCTTGAGTAACGTGGGCTGAAACATGCACGAAAATCGAGAAAGCCATGATTGTTGTAAACCATCAAAGAGCCCCCCTACCCCACGTGCATCTTACATGCAAACTAAGGTCAGTTAGGTGCAACCCTGGTCCAATGCGAAAGCAGCTTAGCCCATGCCCAAGTTTGCTTATGCAAAGTGCTGAGGAGCAACTGATGATACCTAAAATAAATTCCAAGTGCTAAGCTCAGGAGGTCAGACACATGAATAGAGGTCAGAGGGTAAGGGCCGAGTGTCTCTTAAGGCAAGATAACAGCTGGATAACCACGAGAGGATCCTAAAGCGTTAGGAAGCTGTAATTAAGGCATCCAATCTCAATCAACCAAGATCTTCTTCTAGAATTAAGGAGAAGCCCATGAAATAAGGGCAAAAACCTCGGCTAAGATCATTCTTAGCAGGGAATAATCTTATAAATGCAAAGTAACACCCCCTAAGAGGGGAACCCTAGTGACAAAAAGAAGTCATAATAACCTTGTAATCACTGTGAATAAAACAAAAAGAGCATGAGTCTCCATTCCAGAGTAGACTAACCGAACTCTCAAGCTAATAAACCATTATAATTCTGTTGTCTTAACTTCCAAAATTCTGGATATTATTACATTATCTTAGCAACCTAACGTAATCTCAACTCATCTTTTGTAAAAGTGCGTTAACACCATCAGAGTTCATGCTAAAAACCATATGCGATATCAAGAACAACAAAAAAAGGCCAAAGAAGACACCGTGCAGCATACCCGGATAAGGAAATGGCTGCAGAAGGTCTTACTATAACTTTAGTTCTCTGATTTAACTATGTGTTTATAATTTTCTTTTGGTACCAGTTATGGAGCATGACACTCTCTTACAGGAGTTGTGGCCTTATTTGATGTATGTCAGGTATGTCAGTACTGGAGTTTGTGGAGAAATGCCTTTTTTTTTTTTTTTGGGAGGCACCCCCCCCAAACCGCCCCAACAAAAAAAAAAAACACCACCCCACCCATACACACAAAGGGAAATAATGTTTAATCTAGGATATCTATGGAATACCACAGATAGATGAAGCTTCATATTTCCTGGGGATTGTCTTTGGGCCTTTCTGTGCAGCTGAAGTGGAAGATGAAGGAGGCTTACTTGTGTGAGTTTTGGTTTTTTTGTTTTTTTGGGGGAGGGGGGAAGAGAACTATCATTGAGGAAGAACTGAAATTCTGCCTTGTGTCAGGACATATGAGACTATGACAGTTGTTTGGACCCGAAGTGACACAATGAGGGGCTATATTTCGTTCATTCTTCTTTATAGAAGGCTTGATTTAATTGAAAGAAATTAATCTGTCGTGTTAAAAACAATAACGGAAAATTCTTCTAATGCCTCCTGAACTGTACTTCGATTTGAATTTCCCCCTCAACTTCAATTTGCTTCAATTTTAACAGTGAACTTCTGGAAACGTATCAATCAATCTCTTCCGCCTAAATCCCTAGTCCAAACTAACAGAGAAGCCCACATGTGAGTTGCGCTTAAGTTCTGCTACGGGCATTTCCGGGTAAAGAAAAACCTCATCTGTGAAAAGCCACCTCACCCATCCTCCACCCTTGTCATCACCCTCCAACCACCTCTACCTTCAGTACATCTGGCCTTGTTTCCAAATATTCCGGACTAGCCTCTTTCTTCCTAATAGAACTCCTTACCACTGTCTCTCCTTGATTCCACCAAACACCACTGCCCCCAAATGATCACCGAAACCATCCAAGTGTCTCCACGTCCTCTGCATCATCCACATTGTCCAACCACCCCTTCTTGTGCATCTCCAGGTCCAACTTAACCACCACCGTCATCACAGTAATGGGAGTCTGATATTTCAATCAGTAGGTTTTTTTTTTGGGGTCAGTTTTTTTTTTTTTTTTTGAGAGAGAGAGTTGGAGATATCAACCACTGCTATCACTAATACCATGATCGCTACCGCCTCCTAAAATCATCCTAGAACATCATCCTAGAACAGATCAATGACCACTGCCATCTTCATTCCTGCGCAGCGATAAATGAAGTGTAGTCAAGATCCATTGTGTCTTGATTCTCGGTTTTTGGTGGGTTTTTGTCTCGTGGGTTGTGTGTTTGATTTGTGGCATGTGTTTGGTTTGTAGTAGAAAGTGGGTGGTTGTGGTGGTGGAGGAGTTTTTACTGAGGTCTGGGTCTGGTCGGGTTTTTGTATTTTGGACTTCCCAAGGAAACGTTTTTGTTCCTGCCAAAAGTCATGTGCAACTGTTAGTTTAATCAGGGTTTTGGACGGAAGGATTGATTATGGAGAGTCTACGGTACCGTACCCAAAAAAAAAGCTGTGGTCATAAATTTTTTGACATTTAGTATTACTTAAACGTGAGACTGGAAATTTTTTATCATTAAATATTATTTCTTAAAAATCATAACTTTGTTTATAAATATAATAATATTATTTTAAAGAGTAATAACTAACCTCAAATACTTATAAGATCAGCCGGGCCGTTTTTTGTGTGGTTTCTAACCTACCTTTAAATACTTATAACATAATTTTAATTGTAGTAATTTTACCATAAATAATTATAACNGCTCAGCCGGGCCGTTTTTTGTCTGGTTTCTAACCTACCTTTAAATACTTATAACATAATTGTAGTAATTTTATCATAAATAATTATAACATCACTTTCAAAGATAATAATTTTACTTTTAGTTGTGGTAACCTTAGCTAACCTTACTTTTAGTCATGTGCAACTGTTATTTTATTTTTTTTAGGTACAACAATTAAAGGTTAGGAATTAAACGTTAGGTAAGATTACCACAACTAAAAATAAAATTACTATCTCTGAATGTGATGTTATAACTATTTATGATAAAATTACTACATTTAAGGTTAGGTTACGAGTAGTAAATGTAAAAATACCAGACAAAAAAGGACAATTGAGGTTACAAGTATTTAAGGTGAGTTACAACCCTTTAAGGTAATGTTATTACATTTATAGGCAAAGTTATGACCTTTAACAAAGAGTAATATTTAATGACAAAAAATTTATAGTCACATATTTGAATAATATTAAATTTTAAAAAATTTATGACCACACATTGTTTTTTGGTACGGTACCGGTACCGGTACCGTAGACTCTCCCGGTTGATTAATATGTTTTGAAAAGTTCAAGTTTAAAATTGAGGCAAATTGCAGTTGATGGAAAAATTTAAAACGACTGGCGTATTTCAGGGGCATTTCTAGAATTCCTCCAATAATAGTTACCTGGTTTTTTAAGGTGTTTTTCGTACTGGTCTTGATGGATAGTTTGAGCACTTAAATGGGTATCTATGTGATCTTAATAATCACTTTACGCCATTTGTCCCTTTGATAATGAATTAGCGGATGGCCCGTACGGCAATGCATATGTTTGCACCAGTGAACACACACGCCGTAGTAATCTGATCACAATAAAATCTATAATGGACTAGACAAAAATTCTGGTGTTACCTCTATGAGATTGTAGTTAACTATATTNCAATAAAATCTAAAATGGACTAGACAAAAATTCTGGTGTTACCTCTATGAGATTGTAGTTAACTATATTTTTGCATGTATCTATTTCCATCTCCATGCAATTTCTTAGTCCATGTGTCAACTTTTTAGATTGTTGTGTCGGTCTATGATTGTGTGTTGACTTCGGATCTGTTAGTGCTAACTGAATCATTTCTACTATTTCATGTGCATTTTGCATTGCCACATTTTCCAGCTTGCTCACTGGAACGCTGTTGAATAGTGCTGGAACAATGACACTAATTTCTGATCAAGGGTTTAGCGAAGATAAGGCAAAAGGACGAAAAGATACGAGTAATAGTTATTAAGGGGTACAATTGTAGAGTCGTATTGCTGGTAATATTTTACTGTTTCTACATGAGTTTAATTAATTTAAAGAAAAGTGAGGCATCTGACGCAAGTGATCAGCACGATTAGACCATGTAAAGAAAATCAAATCCTTTTGTGCATCTTAGAGAGTCAAGTTCTGCATGTATCTAATTAGCAAGCAAATTGTGTGGTGTGCATGTTTTGATTTTTGTAGTCCGATCACCTTATTGCAGTTAAGAGTGGATGACATTTTAATTCGAGGGCTGAAATGGAGTAAGCTTCTTAATCCTGACAAGAAAGCGCAATGGTGGTTGTGTGGGGATATGGCATCCTCTACAGAAAATATCGAGGAGGTTGCCAGCACAATTGACAGGTAAGTCCCTGAAGCCCAGAAAATGCTGCAACTTGCTGCTGCACAGAGGATGAACACAGATGCAAGAAGGGCAATCTTTTGTATAATAATGAGTGGGGAGGACTACATTGATGCTTTTGCAAAACTTTTGAGGTTGGATTTGCCAGGGAAGCAGGTAACGTCCTTTTTAAAAATCTTTATCAATTTGGCTATTATTTTTTTCTGTCTTGTCATTTCTTCTTTCTGTACACATTTGTAGGATAGAGAAATCATGCGAGTTCTAGTGGATTGCTGTCTACACGAGAAAGTCTTTAACAAGTACTATTGTGTTCTGGCTTCCAAGTTGTGCAGNATAGAGAAATCATGCGAGTTCTAGTGGATTGCTGCCTACACGAGAAAGTCTTTAACAAGTACTATTGTGTTCTGGCTTCCAAGTTGTGCAGCCATGACAAAAACCACAAGTTTACTTTACAGGTATTGCATTTCATGCTAGACCTAACTTTTTTACAGAAAGTTTAGTTTGGTATCTTGCATAACAACCATCAGGCATTTCTAACCTTGCTGAAGAAGAATAACATAATGAAGAGTAGAAAGCATGAAAAATACTTGATGGAACACCACCTTGTATCATCTTTCACAGAACGAGGGCATTGTGAATGAATAAAACATTTGTTTGTCTTATTGTCGTCTTCTTGCTCTTATATTATGTCACAGTACTGCTTATGGGACCATTTCAAAGAATTGGAGTCGATGCAGCTGATTAGATCAATGCACTTATCAAAATTTGTTGCCGAGCTGTTTGCGTCTTTTAGCCTCTCTCTTGCTGTCTTGAAGGCTGTGGATCTAAGTGACACCAGACAACTAACTTCAAAAAAGATTATGCATTTTCGATTGCTATTTGAGGCCGTCTTTGAGTTTCTAGATAGGCTTGTTTGGAACATATTCAGGCGCATAGCTGTCACCCCCGAGTACGAAACACTTCAAAACGGAATCGTGTTCTTCATCAGCAAGTATGTTGTGAGTGACCAAAAATCCACAGGAGAAAAATTTAAGATTGCAAAGAGAGCTCTTAACAATATTGAAGGAGTTATCCTGAGTTTGGTGATCTGAATTGGGTTAATACTCCTAATACGCAATTCTGCATTTAGAGGTTCGTTATATTTATTTATTTTTACCGCTCTATATAATATTGGCCTTTCACAATTCATTGACTTGGAATATGGAATCTACTATTTTCTACCCATCGGTGGAACAACCGTACTTCACTTTGTTATTNTCTGCATTTAGAGGTTCGTTATATTTATTTATTTTTACCGCTCTATATAATATTGGCCTTTCACAATTCATTGACTTGGAAGATGGAATCTACTATTTTCTACCCATCGGTGGAACAACCGTACTTCACTTTGTTATTGTAATGAGCTTCTTCCCATTTGGGATGAGTTTTGGGAACATAGGAAAAGCAATGGTACTATTTTTTCCTTTTGACAGTTAGTAGTTGGGATACTACAGTGAGATTTAAATAACACTTTAGCAACCGTTGACGTATTTAATTCTTATTAATAAGTGCTAGTTCATTAGTTTTCTTAGANTTACAGTTAGTAGTTGGGATACTACAGTGAGATTTAAGGAACACTTTAGAAACCGTTGACGTATTTAATTCTTATTAATAAGTGCTAGTTCATTAGTTTTCTTAGAAGTCATTGTTCTTTTGCACTAATTCTATCTTTGAGAAAGCTTTTGCACTAAGATGGTTTACAAATAGGGTTGTTAATGGGTCGGGCTCGGTGGGGTTCACATCGTGTCATCTCAAAATTTGTTTAATTTATACCCAATTCATTTTTAATTGAATACAATTGGTTTCATAGTGGTGGATTCTTGCCAACTTGGTCTTCTATTATCATTACGCTTTGGTTGTAGTTATACCTTGCTTGATAATTTTGTTATTTTCTAACACAACAGTATGTTTGACCTGTACGTGTTAAAGTATATAGTTAGTGTTCGTTTGAAGTCAAGATTAAACTTTTTTTTTGANATCACAACAATATGTTTGACCTGTAAGTGTTAAAGTATATAGTTAGTGTTCGTTTGAAGTCAAGATTAAACTTTTTTTTTGAGTATGATTGGGTTCAATAGTGGTAGGATTTGATGAATGTATTAATGTACATTGTGTAAGTTGGTGTAAAGTGGATCAATTTATTTGATGAGTCTGACCGGTTAAGACTAAATTCCAATCCATTATTTTTATGTGGATTTAGTGTTGGATTCGCGGCCTATGTTTATGGTTAAGTGTTTCTTGTTTGTTTGGACAAACTTTACTTTATCTCCCTGTGGTATATACCAAATTTACTTTATCTCCTTAACATTTAAAAACCTCCACATAACCCTCATGTGATTAGTAGACTAAAGTGCATAATTAAAAAATTCATCCAAATTAACAGAATTGAACGAAAAGACTTTAATACCCTTCTTAATTTATTTTTAATTAATCTATAAAACATTCCAACACAATCTGTGGATGACACATCCCAACTCAACTCCTACGAACCACCACCACCATATTGGATTTACCATTGGAGCTCACACAACAACAACCTACTAGCTCTCTCTCTCTCTCTCTCCCTTTGACCTACACACACAACACACGTAGGTAGGAAGGCACATACAAACACAACACCGTCCCTTTCTCGATCTCCCTCACTCCTCTTCACTCCGGCGACCCACCCACACATAGCATACACACAGACACATAAAACACACACACACAACACAGANTCTGGCGACCTACACACACAACACACGTAGGTAGGTAGGCACATACAAACACAACACCGTCCCTTTCTCGATCTCCCTCACTCCTCTTCACTCCGGCAACCCACCCACACATAGCATACACACAGACACATAAAACACACACACACAACACAGAAATTTATACCCATTCCTTCAACAATCGAATCATAATTGCAAAAAAAAAATAAAGCCTCCAAAGTGATAGAGGGGGCTAGGGGGGGGGAAGATCGGAGTTGGTTCAAAGAATGGTGTTTGGACAAATTTTAAAATTTAACAAGGTTATTTTTGTCTTGAAAATATAAAAAAAAAATTTGACACAACACAACTCTTAGATCCTTCGAGTGGGACACATCTCCCATTAAGTTGGATGGAAAATGTCAAATTGCATTTTAGTCTACAAATCGCGTAAGAGTTATGGAGAGGTTTTTAAATGTTAGGGAGGTAAAGTGTATTTGGGGTATACAAGGGAATAAAGTAAAGTTTGCCTACAGGGTGTCGAGGCGTACGCGGAGTATTTTCTCGATTTTAGTAGTTAGCCATCGTGGCTAAGTGTTTTTGCTTCTTTCAAAACATCTCCCAACTTGTTCACATGGTTTCGGATATCCAATATGTGTTTTTACATCTTCATCGATCAATTAGTCTGTGCCGTCTTTCGGCAATGAATCCATTCTGTGTCCCCCTCAATTTTTATTTATTTATTATTTAGGTATGTATATTATATATTTGTATAATATATTATTTGTGTCCATCCAAATCAAAGACAAAAATATTAATGTACATTTTTNATCAAAGACAAAAATATTAATGTACATTTTTATCAAATGAATAATTTTAATTATGTCCTCCCTATTTTTTTTTGCACATTAATTAGTGTATAATTATATCAAATGAATATGAATTTTTGACACATTTTGGACTGATTATGTACCTATCTAGATAAATTTTGAATATACTAAAATTATTTTATATTTTTTAAGACTAAAAAAGACATGATATACATATTCGCTAATTTACTTGTAATTTTGACATTTACTTTTGCTAATTATAGTAAAAATCATAGAGTGCACATTAAACTGCATAATCAACCAAATGATTTATAAAATACTAAAGTGATAGCATGATTATGTGTCTAAAGAATAATAAAGTTGTTAAGCAACGTTTTAAAAGTACAAAAATTTATCCAAGTCAATTCTAAATGATTTTAATTAGTTAATATTTTGTAAAAAAAAATGTTATCATTTGTATATACTAGGCTTACCAAATTTCGGTATGGTGGGTTTAATGAACTTTTAAGTATTAAATATGATGTAATTAAATAAATCATTGTCATATTTCTATCAATTGTAAGAAAAAAATAATAATTTGTTGAAATATTTGTATCCACCCTGACACAATTTTTTGGCTCCGCGCCCAGCTAAGGTGTATGCATTTTATTTGATTTCTCTGTGATTGGTATCAAACAGTTGCAACACAAAACTAATCAACAAAATGGTTAACATTATGATGGCTTGCAATTCTGCATTAATCATTTTTGCCATTGTTGCTCCGATGGTCATTCTGGCTGAAGATTTCGTAGTTGGGGGTGAAATGGGATGGACCGTGGCATTGGATTACCAAGCTAGGGCCGACGGCAAAGACTTCCGGGTTGGCAACACCCTCGGCATAGTATTCCTAAAACTCAAATCTGATCTAACGGAATAGAGCTGCAAAATTGATGGGACACTTTTGAAAATCAATAGGAGATGACACGTGTCCTAAGTACAAAGATCCCTTGAAAAGCTTAGATGGCGATCCGAGTTCTCGGTACTAAGATCCCTCGAAAAGCTTAGATGGTGACACGTTTTCTCGGTACTAAGGTCCATTGGTCCATCTGCGAGTAACACATGTCCTCAGTATTAAGGTCCCTCAAATTACTTAGATTGTGACACGTGTCCTCAACGTGACTAACTCTCCCGAGGTCCATTTTTAGACACGTCATCTCATCTCCAAGACCTCAAAATATGGGTGACTAATTGACAATTATCGTTACTTGAAGTTAGAATTGACCAATAATCATTGGCTTGCCTTCCCAAAGAAGTCAAAATGACAGAAAGGACAAACCAGTGACTAAAGTTAATGAGTCACGAGGCACAAAACACAGAATTGAGAGTCAATGAACAAAAATGCTCCTACTATTACGCAGCCATCATAGAGAGGCATTTAATGATCTCTCAGAAGGATGAGACATATTTATTGCTTAGAGAGTCCCAACAAAAGAGCATTAAGTGCTCGGGAGCCCGGACATTTAATGCTTAGGCCTCTCCACACAAAATAGAAGGCTCTCTGCCTAAGGACTGAGCATTGCTTGCTACCTTCCAAATGAGCTAATGGGGGACTCCCTCTTCAAGGGGCCCACTTGTCCACAAAGATTACCTTAAGGGAGGTATAAATAGCTTTAAAAAATGCAAAGCAAATGTACGCAAATCATTCTCATGCAATAGAACAATATTTTTCCTTTCCCTTTCTCACATATTGACTTGGTCGTCAGAGGGGTCGTGCTGGAAAACATTCAGGCGCCCTTCTAACATTTCTTTTGAGTGGTAGAATTCATCTCGACATGCTGGAATCACGCAGACTGCTGAAAAAGTAATTCATCACCACTCCTTATATCGTTTTTCGCCTTTGTTTGCCACAGGACTGTCGACTTTCTTGGTAATCTCGAGTTTGCCAAAAGAGAGATCTATCCATTTTTTTATTGTGCGAAAATCACCACGTACAAAAATGAACTGAATTTAGTCGAGCATTAGGCTACCCAAGCTCAGCTCGTTCAGTTGTGAACAATGTCGAGCTAGATTTGAGATTGTGACGAGTTTTAAACACCTTCTTAAAGCTCGGATCGTTAATTTTTGTTCCACGCTCAAGCTCGACTCTGTCTCAGATTGTTGATTACAATGAAACAAGCTTGAGCTTGTTTTCAAGTAGAAATTCAGGCCAGCACTCATTTAAGATCAAGCTCAACTCGTTTTCGTTTATATACGCATACAAAAGTGTTGAACTAGTCATGAGTCCAATGAACTGAACAAGGGCATTCTTTAAGATTGGCTCGTTTATTAAACGAGTTTTAAAATTAGGCTTGAACTTCTCTCATTTAAAATTAGGCTCACAGAAAAAGCTCTAGCCCCTCGAGGGAGTTGGCTTGGCCGTGAGGAAGGGACCATTTTTTATATGGAGATGTCCCCACGGCTAATTTATCCTAACTTCATAAAGAAAAGAAAAGGTCAAAGTTTGAATTCTTAGCTTTGCAACTACTACAACGTCAAATGACTTAACTTGGACAG